TGAAGGTCACAAAGTACTTGTGGCCTGTCTGCATTGTTGTTTCCATGCATCCACACACATCTGTGTAAGTCTGATGTAGTATGCATGGCTTTTCCATGTCTGACTTCAACAAAATAGGGTGCCTGTGTTGTTTGCCTTCAAGACAGGCCTTGCATGTGCATGTGCTGATCTCCCTGGTCCATATGACATCCATTCTGGACACCATGTCCTTGTCCAGCAAATTCAGGACATGTTTGACATTGGCATGTCCAAGATGGTGGTGCCATGTAATTAGAGTAGCTTTGGGTATTGTCATCCTAGAGGTGAGAGCCATGTGTGGCTCATTTGCATTGAGTGCATCCAGGGTATTGATGATATAGGCAGCATGGCTCCCTGATATAACACTAGCTTCAAGTATGTAGAGGGATCTGTGTTTGGTGGCGAGAGCTACAACCTGGCCTTCTGCATGAACCTGGCATGTCCATTCTCCAAATGCAACTTTTAGTCCTTTCAAGGCCAAAGAGGGGACTGACATGAGATTCATGTCGAGATCAGGAACATAGTATATGTCTCATAGGATGGTTTTGCTTGTGTGTCCATCCTCAAGGTGCATGGAGAGTTCAATTCTCCCCTTGCCTATGGCTTGGATTGTTCTGCCATCACTGATGATCACTGGTTGAGAGGGGACCAGTTTTCTGAATGTCATAAACCATGACTGCTGGCAGCACATGTGTGTGGAGGCCCCAGAGTCTGCAACCCACTCTGATGCACTGGTTTCTGGGTGTGTGTGAGCTATGAATAAGCGAAGAGGGCCTTCCTCTTCTTCTGCCACAGCCACAATCTTTGCTGTCAGTTCTGACCTCTCCTTTGACTTGTCCTTATCCCCATGCAAGGTACTTTGGGATGGAGCTTTAGCTGCTTCATCCACTTTCTTCTTGTAGCATTTGTCCTCTGTGTGTCCCATCTTGCCACATGGTGCATAGGCACACTTCTTCTGTTTCTTCTTCTTGTCTGCCATTTTTGACTTCTTGCCTGTGTTCATCTTTGCAGCAAGAGCAGAATGTGATTTCAAAGTTTGTTGTGACTTTTCTTCAACAAGGACTTGGGAAATAACCATCTCAGGAGTTATCTTGTCATTTGATGACATTAGGATTGTGTGGAGGGTAGAGTATGATGGTGGGAGCAAGATGACCATCACAATGGCTACAAGTGAGTCCTCAAGTGGTTGTCCAAGCAAGGCAAGAATATGGGCCTTTTGATGCATTGCATTCAGCTGTGTCTCCATCAGTTTGTCATCTGCAAGTGTTCCTTGGAACAACTTGCTGATGAGGCAGGCAATAGTCTGCTTGCCTTTTCCTTCATATCTCTCACCAAGTTTCTTCCATGTCTCAGCTGCAGTTTTCACATACAGCACTCTGCTAAGGGGTTCATCCTTGAGCGTGAGTGTGATTTGTGCACATGCTTCCTGGTCCTTGAGGAGCCATTCCTCATACTCATCAGGATGAGTTTTCTGGTCTGGAGGTTTTACCTCCGTGTCTGTACCAGCAACAATGGTCCAGAGGCCTCAAACTGTTAAGACTTTTTGCATTTGGAATTTCCACATTTGATAGTTCAAACCATCATCTGCAAGGGGAGCTATGTCATAGAGTTGACTTGAGCCTTGCAAGACTCTTGTAGAAGTAGAGGCTGATGTGTTTGAACTTGTGGATGGGCCTAGAGCCCAAGATGTTGACACTGAAGGTCTGAATGACATGTCTTATTGTATACTGTGGTACCACTTGGTTTGAGTTTGCTACTGTAAGGTTAGAACTGCTCAGGGCTCATAACCTCTTGAAGGTAGGCCAAGACAAGGGACCTAGGAAGGAGACTCAGGCTTCAGTTAGAAGAAGTCTATATTCACAGCTAACCTAGGAAGGAGACTACAGCAGTAAGTCAGTAAGGTAGCTAGTTATTAATAAAGCAGAACAGTTACCTCAGGCTTTAGTTAGAAGAAGTCTGAGGTACACCTGAAGGAAAAACAAACATCCTAAGTGCGAAGATTTATTATGTAAGCTTGTACAATGTAAGCAAAAGTCAGGTAAAGGGGACAACACTTCAACATGTGCCATTCATCCAACTGTTGTGAGCCATCCACCAATCTTTATTAAGCAGATGTGGTATCCCTGGCACCCCCTCAGCAGCAGCTTTCTGCAGACACCATTCCTGCATGAATTGGAGGTGATTTCAGTGATCCAGATGCAGCAGGCTGCTGCCTGACTGTGTGCTGCATGAATCAAGCTATTGCTGGCCATCCACCTATCTGTTTTGTGTGGATGTCATATCCTCAGCACCCACTCAACAGCAGTTTTCCATGCACACCATTCCATCATGAATTGGAGGTGAAGGGCATAGTGGTCATAAGAAGTGCATTTGCATGTAATTTGATCATCCATGAAGTGTCTGAAAGGCTCAGAAAAACTGGAAACTATGTTAGGGGCTTGAACAAAAAAGTGTTTGCATTTTTGATATATTTGACATGGGCACTTGAAAAAGGCACTAGCTTTGAGGATGGTTCTGTACCTACAACATATCAACAGCTCATTATGTGGGGCAGACACCTTGAGGTGTTGTGCCATGATCTCTTCCTGCTGGTATTTAGGGGTTTCATCATGTTCTAGGCTGCTTACTGCTATTCTGACTATCTAGGCAGCACTGTAATACTGATTGGCAGTCACCACAACATTCCCAAGCTCATCCCTTCAGGGGAGAGCACTGGGGATGTGAAACAATCCCCCAGAGAGCATGGGAAAAGGTGCAAAAAATTGTGGAGACTTTCAAAACATATCAAAAAGATGAAATTGCACACCCCCCACAATGTGTGGTATCCAATGGATGGTAGTACTGAGATTTTGTTCATATGTTAGGACCTCCTTGGACTATATTAGACCCACTTGAGTGTAACACAACTCAGAACTTCAGACTGGGTGTTAGTCTCCTACACCTTGAGTAGTCAAATGTATCCATTGAATGACAGGTCCTAGTGAATCAATTTTCGCATTTTTGGGTTTTAATGAGTGATGAATACCATATGTTACATGTATGTATATCCCATCACCAAGGGAAACTCAGTACTACTATCCATTGGATACCACACATTGTGGGGGGTGTGCAATTTCATCTTTTTGATATGTTTTGAAAGTCTCCACAATTTTTTGCACCTTTTCCCATGCTCTCTGGGGGATTGTTTCACATCCCCAGTGCTCTCCCCTGAAGGGATGAGCTTGGGAATGTTGTGGTGACTGCCAATCAGTATTACAGTGCTGCCTAGATAGTCAGAATAGCAGTAAGCAGCCTAGAACATGATGAAACCCCTAAATACCAGCAGGAAGAGATCATGGCACAACACCTCAAGGTGTCTGCCCCACATAATGAGCTGTTGATATGTTGTAGGTACAGAACCATCCTCAAAGCTAGTGCCTTTTTCAAGTGCCCATGTCAAATATATCAAAAATGCAAACACTTTTTTGTTCAAGCCCCTAACATAGTTTCCAGTTTTTCTGAGCCTTTCAGACACTTCATGGATGATCAAATTACATGCAAATGCACTTCTTATGACCACTATGCCAAGTCAGACTACATTACCAGTGTCAAAAAGCCCAGAGAAGTATCTTCAGGGTGTAACACAGGGAGGGGGCAATTGTGCCACTACACTTGAAGCATGCCATCCCAGCCTATCAACTTGTGATATGTTTTAGGAACACATGGCCCCTTCAAGGGGACACAATAAATAGATAGATATGACCAATATATCAAAAAAGTGATTGCTTTTTCTGGTTTTCCCCCAATCAGACATTGTAATTATTTAGGCCCATTAGGATGGGCAGAAAAGCATTGATTTATGGTCTAATGGACTTATAGTACATCCAACTATCATATACAATGCCTACAGCAAAGGGACAGAGCCCAGAAAGAAAGGGGAGGCTGGGGACAATGAGGGCAGTGTGTGGGAATGTTGGATGTCAGGCACATGCCAAATGAGGACATGTTTCTCCTTGTATGCTTGATTCATTTCCTCAAAACACTTGTTTGAAGTCTTGTATTTTTTCAGCAAGGATGGGACTGAGATTGACAGGGTAAATTTTCTGCTTGTGGAAGAGAAGCTCTCTCTCTCACCTATGCCCACAATTTTTGTCCAGTTAGAATCTCTCATATGGTCATCAACACCTCTTGTCTGTGGGCTTGAGTCATAGACCTTGCAGTTGGAGAGATCTTATTGAATGGAGCGCACAATGTCTCCAAAATCTCACCATCCAGGTGGCCAGCACCCTTGACAAAGTTGAGGCTATATCTTGGGAAGCAAGAGAGTTTGTGGGCAGCCAAATGAAACTTCCCCACAGCAGGAATGATTTCCAGACCAGGAGGAAGAAGCTCACCAATGCAGAGAACTGCATCTTTGCATTGTGGACTCTGACTGCAATGGACTTGACTGATTTGCTAGTGGGCACCACTGAGGAACTCTTGCTCCACTCATAAATGGCCTTCAACTTCTCCTTTCTTGCTGCAGTGTCATCTTTGGGGATATCTTTCATGAGTTGGTTGTACTCTGCCATAATGATATTGTTGACTGTGTTTTGGTCAGCTGGGAAGAATGTTATAAAATAAATTCTGTGACAAGGGCATGCATACTGCCATCAGGTTTTGGTTGGGTGGCCAGAGTGGTGGCTGCGCTTTTTTATGCTTATGTAATTACATAAAATTCAGAGGAGTGATGAAAATAAACTGTGGGGATTTGTGGGGAGAAACTCCAAAGGGCAGGAGGGGGGTGGGCAGATCTCAAATCTACACTACTAGTATATTGATGCATCACTTCACCTCCAATTCATGATGGAATGGTGTGCATGGAAAACTGCTGTTGAGTGGGTGCTGAGGATATGACATCCACACAAAACAGATAGGTGGATGGCCAGCAATAGCTTGATTCATGCAGCACACAGTCAGGCAGCAGCCTGCTGCATCTGGATCACTGAAAGCACCTCCAAATCATGTGGGAATGGTGTCTGCAGAATGCCACTGTTGAGGGGGTGCCAGGGATACCACATCTGCTCAATACAGATTGGTGGATGGCTCACAACAGTTGGATGAATGGCACATACATCCAGGGTGCACCTTGCAGGATCTGGCTCACTCAAATCAGCTCCAATTCATGCCTGAATGATGTCATTGGACAGTCACTGTTGAGCAGGTGCCAGGGATACTGCATCCACTCAATATGGATGGGTGGATGGCTGGCAATAGTCTGGTTAATGCCACATACATCCAGGCTGCAGCTTGTGGGGTCTTGGTCACTCAGATTAGCTCAGATTCATGCCAGAATTGTGTCCATGGAAAGCCACTGTTGAGTGGGTGCCAAGGATACCACATGCACTCAATACAGATAGGCAGAAGGCTAGCAATAGTCTGATTAATGGGATATACATCCTGGGTGCAGCTTGTGAGGTCTGGGTCACTCAAATCAGCTCCAATCCATGCCAGAATGGTGTCCATGTAAAGCCACTGTTGAGTGGGTGCTGAGGATACTGCATCCACTCAATACAGATGGGCAGAAGGCTGGCAATAGTCTGATTAATGGGACATACATCCCAGGTACAGCTTGTGAGGTCTGGGTCACTCAAATCAGCTCCAATTCATGCCAGAATGGTGTCCATGGAAAGCCACTGTTGAGTGGGTGCTGGGGATGCCACATCTGCTCAATATGGATGGGTGGATTTCTGGAAATAGTCTGATTAATGCCAAATACATCCAGAGTGCAGCTTGTGAGATCTGGGTCACTCAAATCATCTCCAATTCATGCCAGCATGGTGTCCATGGAAAGCCACTGTTCAGTGGGTGCCAGGGATACCACATCCATTAGTGATGGGCCCATCTTTATGTTTTGACAGGGTACATCTTACTGGGGCCAGGCCTGCCCATATGCTGTGACAATATAAATAATACTACTGAAGGGCCCATCCATATATTGTGATGCTATACATGAGATTACTGACAGGCCTGTCTTTATGTTTCATCAGAGGTACATCTTGCTGTGGATGGGCCTGTCCATATGTTGTGACAATATAAATAATATTACTGAAGGGCCTGTCCATATGTTGTGACTCTATTCAATGATACTAGTGACAGGCCCATCTTTATGTTTTGACAGGGTACATCTTACTGCAGCCAGGCCCACCCATATGCTCTGACAATATAAATAATACTACTGAAGGGCCCTTCTATATGTTGTGATGCTATACATGAGATTACTGACAGGCCTGTCTTTATGTCTTGTCAGAGATACATCTTACTGTGGATGGGCCCATCCATATGTTGCAACAATATAAATAATACTACTGAAGGGCCCAGTGTTATGTTGTGACTCTATTAAATGATATTAGTGACAGGCCCATCTTTATGTTTCAACAGTGGTACATTTTACTATTGACAGGCCCATCCATATGTTGTGACATTTTGAAACAACATTACTGATGGGCCCATCTTTATGTTGTGACAGGGGTATGGCTTATTATGAATGGGCCTGTTTATATGTTGCAACACCATAAATGATATTCCTCCTGGGCCCATCCTTATGTTGTGACCCTCTCCATGTTCTGATAGGTGGGTCCACCTTGATGTTGTGACAGGGGTGTAACCTACCAGGATGGGCCCATCCATGTCTTACAGCAGCTCAGTATTCTTAATTGGTCACAGGCCTGTCTAAATGTTTCAACATCCTTACCCACCATGGGCCCTCCCATATGTTGTGGTAATCCACTTACAGGCCTGTACATATGTTGCTCTCACTTTAGTCCCTTGGGCCTGTCCATGTGTACTGGCTAATCTATTTAGGCAGGCCCATCTTGGGGTCTATATAAGTGTTGGTGTTTTGGCACACAGGCTGCCCATGTGTTGTGACTAAATGGACTACATGGGGTCCCCCCCTCAAACATGTGACCAGAGTTAATGCTCCTTAAGCCCTGAATGATCATTGGCAACAAAGAGTTTACAGACCTGGCCTGACAGCATCCAGGAATAAGATCAAAAAAGTGTAAATTAGACTTTTGTCAATTTACATCTTTTTTATCTCTATGTCTTACAGTGCAAATACTATACAGTACACTTCATGCAAGGGAGCTTGAGATAATCCCAACCAACCTTACAGGAGGGCTGGTTTGTTGATGAATGTGAAGTGTATGTGCACACAGCCCACCATTAATCTGGGTTTTCACTCCATCATGCAACCTTCATCATCAAATACAGCTGCACTTCACTTCAATAGTACATAGCAATTTACTCTTCTAACACCAGATACAGCCCAATGGCAATATGACAGATGCTCCACCCACTGTTCACTAGTCGATCCTTATGCCAGACTGGCTTATACACCACTCTGTGACCGCACAGGGTGGCCACAGCCCCTCAGGTTCATCCCCAGCATCCTGAAGCAGTAACGCGACAACGCCATGTGGGGGGACATTATATGCTGTGAAGTTCCTTACAGCAGTGCCATTGTTGGAATGAGCCCAAAGATCCTACAAGGGTATATTGTTTGGTACGGGGAAAAGCTTCATTCAAGAAATCCGGCTTACCCTAACAGAATACTGAATACCTGCTCGAATCCACGGAGACTCGGTCAGATTGAAAAACATCGTCGCTGGCTCGTCCAATGTATTGATCTGTGGTCGGTTCACATGATGAGATGGGAGGTTGTTTCTCAGAGTGAAAAGAGATACTTGCCAACATAAACACCGTCCCGTTCTGACTCTCTCCACTCCAATACTGCGCAGGATGTGTACTGTTGCTAATGTAGTCCGGCTAGAAGATTTCGACAAGTGAGTGAGTAACTCTATCGGACAAAACGCCATAGTTACATTAATGCCCCATCTGAAGGGAGTAACACCAGTGCCGACGACTGGATCTTGGTTAATGGCTATGATTTCACGGTTCGTGAGAATCTCTATCGTCTGATTACTGGCTGTTTCTAGCTGTTCTCGTCGAAATCAATTAACGGAACATGCAGTTCCGAGATATGTAATCCATACATCGGTACCAATTAATAGCGGAGATTTCATCAGAGCCCAGGCGGTGAAGTGAGTTTTGGATTCTTCGTATGTCAAATTTCCATTTCCACTGAAGAGCAACGAAGTTAGCTTGCGATAGCATCACAGCTTTCTACTTACATTTCGAGCTATAGGAATGTCAATTTGTGAGCTTCATCAAACAGACAAACAAGAGACATGCCGCTGCTTACCATATCCATGTCGTTATGTCCGTAGAAATTGCTTGCCCAAGAATAGAAAGAATTTCTACAAAATCCCGTTAACAAACCCAAGACCACATTGTGGCGAGGCCCCCTACTGATTAATGATGCTAGCGACAGATTCCCAGAAAGGCGCTGCAAACGCTCAATACACGCACACGCGCAAGTAGAGATTCATTGAACGCACAAATATCGCCGGTAGTCTGGGCATTTCGTCGTCAGGACCAGTCCCACTCCGCTAGTATACGAAAACATACCCGCCAACTCTGACCGTATCTCTTCCCCCACAGCCATACCTGCTCCTGTACACGAGGGCATGAACGTTGGCTTCCAACACAAAATGTCTCACACATACGCTTCCCCATTCGCACAGGGACAAAATGAGAGGCAGTTTCCCCGTAGACTGGGATAAGTCGGATATAGCATTTGCCATGCGCGCATATCCTAGGACAGGCTGAGGAATTGAGCGGCAGCAACGTCGAAGTACACGTACGACCCATGATATTCTCCCTCGTGATGTTGTCAAATGGAACGGCACAGTTGTCGTACCTACAAATGGTAAGTATGAGTGCTTAAGCATGCAAAATTCGTAGTATCGTACTTCAAGTAGTCAAAGCCCCATTCATCCTGAAACAATTTCGCATCTCTGGTCGCGGTTCAGCGCAAAGGATCATTAGAGCGCGATCGAGCGCACCTTGCCTCGTTTTGGTACGAGCCAGGATAGAGTTGACAAGTAAACCAGCCAGCGTCACTGTACTTGATAATGACAGGGGTTAATAAAGTCGCTTTTAGTGTTGCTGGGCTGTGCAACCCACGATTCCAGCGTTCCTATGAAACAGTTTAGGTCTGAGAATGGGATCTGAACTAGGAATGATTTGGAAACTCACAATCCCAAAGCATGAATGTTGTCCGTCAGTGTTTTCATGCCAGATGGGAATTTGGTTTGATCTGAAGAAGTGAGTCATTCTATATATAGCCCAATTTCCAACTACCACAGCTTACTCGCAACGATATCGCCGTCAGAGTTGCGCTGTTTCGCAGCGTAGCAATCGTCAATGTTAACGTAGTTGTATCCTGCATCCTGGGGGAGACACGAAATGAATCGATGCGTGCCCGAAAGTACATCTGCGACGGTTACGCCACGCACCGCTAAGCCCAGGGATATCATAAGATTGGCATTTTGGATAACGATGTCCTCGCTAATGTTGCACTAATATAGGGAACTGCTTGTCAGACAGTGCGACGAGACGAATCGCGTGCAGGAGATCCACCTGGTATGCGTTCCAAGCTTTACGATCCGAGATGAGTTTGTGTCAGTTCTAGTTGTGTACGCGGAAACGGGCCAACGAACTGTTAAAACCCATCACTGATACGAGGCGTCAGAGGTACATTTCATGACTGCTAGCACGTGGTGCTCACCAGGAAGCTTTGCGACTCCCTCACTTGCATGGGCTCCAATGAAAACAGCTGGAGACAACGCCAAGGCGAGCACGAAGACAAAAGTGCCAGTTGGCTTCATTCGTTTTGGAATGCCTACATCTGCAAGAGACAGAGAAGTTAGTGATCCGTTCATGTCTAGTCTTCGTCACCTTCGACGCCATTTCGTCGCTAGGGATTGGATATGCAACCCCTTATGGGCAATATACACTCACCAGATAGCAGAGGAGGTGGCGGCGTAGACGGCGCTCGACGGTGCTTGGCGGTCATAGAGCTTTGCTACCCAAGTAAGAGCGGGATGAAAGGAGGCTCTACCGAGTAATAACTAGACTTATAATGGGCAGACTTGCCAAGGGAAATCAATGCCCGGATGCCGCGCTTCTACGTCTCCTTACTATTGCTCCGCCGCCAAGACCCGAGGGTTGTACTGATCATGCGTGTCCCATCATTTTTCTGGGAACAATTGGGCTATGTATGCAGTCGAGTGGAGTGGATAAATTACTAACCGTGGCCACGCGGGGAACTTACAGGGGCTTGCTTGCACCCCAATTACGACAACCAGACCCCAGAACGGACTGCTCCTAATCGGCAAATATACCGACAAGCCAATTTACGGATTCTTCCGTGTCTCTGCAACAACCTATCATCACGTAACAAACTCACTGAGCCTATCTCATGACCAGTATGAAGATAGAGGAGGTAGCAATGCGACGGTCTGGCTCACAGAGTTATTACGGTCAACACGACCAGCCCATCGGAGTCCTAGATAGTCTTGCTAGAGTGGCCGCCGTACAGGGATGATAGGACAAGTCCATTGGCGCGCAAACGGTTTAATTTCATTCCACGCCACTTCGGGGAAGGTGCCTTCAGAGTGCGGGGCCGAATACAACTAGCTAATCCGGGAGGTGACTGCCCATCTCGCACGGCACTGGCGTTTGTACTTGGGAAGCGCGGCCCTGGACAACGGTTCTCGCAACTGATAACGACCATCAACTTCATCGCTTTATCGCATCTTTATACTGGATATATAAAACAACACCCATGCCCAGCATCCATCCGACTGGGTGATAGCGGAATACGTAACGTTCGAGATTGATAATATTGGTATTGCATGCATGCGGGTACGAATGCGACAATGTGCGCGATGAGAGCCTATATATACGAAGTGGAGCAAAATTTCACCAGTCATTGCGACGCGTCATTATCGTCGCGCAAGCAGAGCTGCTCACTCTGTCTTCTCTTTCAATGGTATCGTTTCCTTCCCAACCGTGGTAACTGCTCCTGGGACATCGCCCAGCCGGTTCCCGACTTTGACTTTCTGCCCAGGCTTGACGGCGAACTCGAACGTCTTGGGTGCCTCGAACACGAGAACGATCGTACTGCCGAGACAGAAGCCTCCCATTTCTTGGGCAGCGGTCAGAGGCTGACCGTTCAGCAGTAGGGATGCCGCCGAATACACGGCTTCGTTGTATGTGCCTGGTGGCGGTGGTCGGCCACGGACATTCGTACGCAATGCCTGCAAGAAGTGATGAACAAAGCCAATTTTGACTGAAAACGAAAATCCTCCGCACGGTATCGAAATTAATCTTGATGCTGCCAACATTAGTTGCACCGACGGGTATCATGCTGAAAAATCCATATCGCCATCTACCGAGTAATGTAACCCTCTCATTGAGTACAAAGAGGTTCTGCAGCCGCTTGGCCATGTACGGCGAGACGGAGAACAGTTCACCTGACAACTGTTGTTCATCGCAGAACTGTCATGATGGATGCTGTGCACATACCAACAAAGTGCCTGCGCTTTTCTACGACCCAAGCTGTTGGACTGTGGAAACGATGGTAGTCACCGGGAGCGAGGTAGATCACCGTGAAGTAGAGAGCATTGCCTGGTTTGACGGCAGTGCCGGACGCGCTACGCTTGCGTTCCATGAGGAACGGACGCACACCCAATTCACGTGCGACAGAAGCATCGTGCGCAAGGGTCTCCTGCAGAGTGCCTTCTTGCGTAACAGATGCATCAATCTGAGTACCATGTTTTCGGGGGGTGATTGTCTCGTTGTCGGAATCTGCACTGGAATCGTTCAGAGTTGGAGTCGTCGAGCCGGAGGATTTTGCAGATGAAGAACCCAAAAGCTCATCCAGGCTGTAATCTATTCCATTGACGTTGGCGAATTCGCGCTCGTCTACGACGGACATGTCACGGCGGGGAAATTCGACGACTGTCGACGTTGGAGAAATGGGACTACCGGGACTGGATTTTTCTACGCCAAGAAGTGCATCAAGGGAATATGTCATTCCCTTCACCTGTTCCACGCGCAGACCATCTATCTCGCCGAGATGGAGAACCGTTCCATCCGCGGGACTAACCTAGTGATGAGGTTAATAATGGCCTTTCAAGGGTGATACGAGTGTAGGACGGTGGTACACTTACTAGCACTGAGTTATCCACCGGACGAGCGCCAGGTTTGAGCTTGCGATAGAAAAAGTCTCCTAGACTGGCGTACTGGGTGAGGTCGTCGGGCTCAATCTCATCCAAGTTACAACCGAACATGTAAGCGTATAATCGAAAACCGTAAGGGCGAATCCAAATGGGTAGTTCGAAAGAATTCAGGTAACCCCATACTCGCGACATATTGCGGAGCGGTAGTGCACCCAATACGTGAACCTAAGCAACATCTGATGAGGACGGGCAGAGGTATTTAGTAAATTGAGCTGCGAACCTGCCACGGGCCTCTAAGTCTAATAACCTCGTGGCCATCTTCGTCGACGTCGACCTCTCTCTCTGCACGTGCCACTTTCTTGCGGTACTGGATCATGACGAGCAGAAGAGCACCGACCGCCAAAGGCAAGGGGTACCACTTTGTGGGTGTCCGAGTCCATGCTGATACAAATTGTTCTGAAGAAAGTTGAGTGTTAGAACGAAAAGTGCCAGCGCCGCAATGACGTACTGTAGATGGGAGCAGCGGATGTGCCGGGGACCTGTTGTGACGACTCGGGGGGGATCGCATTTCTGGTGGAAGTAACAAGTGACCTTCGGAATGCGCTGCCCTTGATGGACCGTACTGTGCCAGATAGACTGATCCTGCGTTTTACGAATACCCTGGAGAAGATTGCGGAAGAAGTATTGGCTGCGGCACTAGTTGTAGACTGGATGACGTGCGAGGCAGCCTGCAAGGGCCTCTTCCCTTTGACAATGGCCTTGTAGAACATTTAGGAAGACGTTGACATGAAAATTCGTAGCGACTGAAACCGTACAGCAAGATTCCGCGCAGCTGAAATACAGTTACGGTCCAGACGGGAGCCCTGCTGAGGTCACTGGCTCGGCCGATTAATAGCCGGCCAAACAAGGCAATAGCCTTCCAGAAACAACAAGGACAAACAAAGCAGCACGCCATTTCGTGATCACACGACCTGGCCAGTCGACCGGGCGTTGCTTATCTCCTGTAAACCTAATCAACCATTCCCTTGTCAAGCCGTCCCTAATCCTGTAAGTTATATATGGGACCCACGGACAATTTGCTGTGTTGAATGTACTGGAAATACCCTTTTTTGGAAATCGCATTAGTCAGCTGCCTCCACAATCTGCGAATCCGCGAGGCGACGTTTCTTTGTCTGGACACACCACCATGGGTAATGATGGAGGCAGCATCCCTGACAGGCGCGACCTTGTGAAGAACAAGCCAAAAGCCGAACAAGCCGACAAGGCGAATCAGGTTCGCGCGCTTTGGTTCTTCTGCGCCCTCTCAAAGGTTCGTTTTCGGTCTTCTATCGCTCCAGTATGCTGACAGAACCCTATACAGCGTGCTCTCCAGGAGCCAGTCGTCTCTTGTGCTCTTGGGAAACTCTATAACAAAGACGCCCTTATCGAGTACCTACTGGACAAGTCGGCCTATGGAGACGGAGAAGAGATATGCGGACATATCCGCTCGCTAAAGGTGCGCAGTCTAGTGTGCTCTACGCGCTCCACTGCTCGTGTGCTAATGAAATGATGACAGGATGTGAAAACGTTGAAACTAACTCCGAGATCTCCTCCACCCTCCCCAGGTTCTGATGTCGCTAAATTTGTCTGCCCACTTAATCTGAAAGAGATGAATGGTGCCTACCCTTTTGTATACATCCACACCTGTGGGTGCGTGTTCTCCCAATCCGGTCTTCGGACGGTCATTGGATCGACTCCAACTTCGAAATCTCCATCGAACGACGAGGGCTCTGGGGTTGGCAATGAGCAACTCGATGTCTGTCCACAGTGCGCTACCAAGTTCTCAAGGTCCACAGACGTTATCACTGTCAATCCTTCCAAAGAAGAGGAAGAGCGCATGCAGACCATGATGGATCTCCGGCGTTCTCGGGAACCTGTAAAGCCGAAATCTAAGAAGCGCAAGGCCAATGCCGATGGTGCTGTTGCAGACAAGTCGGCCGTCGCCAAGAAAAAGAAAGAGTCTACGAATAGTCACTCGCCCTCACCAGCACCTGTCATCAACCCTGCCGTCGCTGCTGGATCCAAGGCACTTGCTAGCTCCCTCCTCGCAGAGGAGGCCAAGCGGAAAGCCGGTATGAGCGATGCAGTAAAGTCGCTTTATCGTTCCAAATTCAATCAACCCAAGCAGACATTCACTACGATGGGCACGTTCACGAGAGTAAGTCCTTACCTGGTTTCCTCAGCGTCACCGATCTAATGTTCATCGCAGTACGCATAACACTAAGATTCCATACCTTTTGCCGGACATTGTTGGTTGGCTTCTCCCTCTACTCCCACTCCTGTATGTACCATGTTTACATAATTTATACTCTCTTGCTATCCTTTCTTCTGAAGGCTGCGTTTCTGGTACACCATTGCAAAAGGTTAGAGTCTCACAGATGTCCACTGAGATTCCCGCGCTCCAGGGATGATGCATGCACATTTTTCTTGGCCTACTCCGAAAAATGGAACTTGTCAAAACCTTGTGCTGTTCTGTCAAAGGGACACATTGTTTGTTTGACAGTGACAGGTGAAATCCGCTTCCAACTCTTGATAGGTGAACATGGTCATTAGAAGCTTAGGAAAATGGATACTTTCTCCGGTACGAAGTATGGAAAGGTTGCTTGCGCACTGTTCCCACGCACTGTGTGTATCGAGATGGTGCCCCGAAGGATGGACGAAGCAAAAGCAGGCACGAGCGAGAAGAAAATTCCAACAGAAACACGATGACGATGTGTCAAGACTCACGTTGCTTGTTGGCCCTGGCGGTCTTGAAGAACAGCCTCGAGATTTATATTTCGAGTCTAGGAGTTTGTCTGCGCCTACAAGAGTGCTGTTGTCCTCCCCGACGTGGATTCACACGAAAAACCAGCCGGCGATGTTTTTTTTTGGCTTCTCAGGTACTCAACCAAAGACGGCTTGGGAGACGAGTACCTGTGATGGGCTTCCGCAGTAGCCGAAGTACATTTATATCATGGCCCTTGGGTCCCGTACGAGGACGAAGCTCGCTCATAGTCAAGAGGGAGTGATTGTTTTCTGTCGAGTCTTTAGTCCAGTGCGATGGAGACTAAAGCGCACATAACGATCCGACAGCGACTCTCGCATTACACAGCTTGCCGAAATTTGCAACCAACTGGTACGACTGGCCTATTGAATACCCATCTTCAGTCTTCCCGTCGAAGCGTCTTAAATGTTTGCACATGCACTTCTTTGGGCTGGTTGAGCTCAGAGGCACCCGGAGGGTTTTTGGTACTTATATGAGTCATCTACGGGGTATGACAAGAGCTCACGTACTCGCGTGGAACAGTTGTGCAAGGTGCGTAAATGCAAAGCCATAAAATTGTGCAGGGGGGCATTAGTGATAGATTACAGACATCCGAAAAGGCAGAAACAAGCAGGCCCCTACAAACACATCGAACGTTGCGGAGGTACGGGGCCCGAGCCTAGGTGAGGACTCCGTACTGATTCATATACTAAGTTCGTGACTCCAGAAAAGTCCTGTGCGTCATTACTACATTAGAATCACTTGCAAAACACAACGCTATTCAGTCTTCAGCAGATGCATACTAGTCTGTGTGCGAGGCTAGTAGTGTCTAGCAGTCAAGATCAAGTCGAGATGACAAACCAGGTGCGACTGGAATGGTTACCCGTAAGCAATACCATTGTTCCAGACCAGATGGCTGGCTCAGGACGGTATCAACGCAGCAGACAATGAAGTTCTCTGAACGTGAACATGAGAGCATACATCATCACTGCAATTTTTCGTCAGCGGCAAATTCTGGGCTTAATTCAAATTTCACGACAGATGCCACCGGGCCGTTGCCTGCTGTTCCGTTGAATGTATTACATAAGCATCATTTTGGTCACCGTGGCGTCCTGTCTTGTTCTCTACTTCCATCGACCATGTCCGACGATTTCAGCCTCTGCTGCTGGATACGAGGTACTCCCGTCACTGCCACCTTCATTATCACGATTTCACGGACTGAAACCGTCTATACGCTCAGAGATCTTATAAAGGAATCCGAGAAGCTTGAAGTGCCAGCTTCAGCTCTCCGACTGTTCAAGCTCAAGAATCCCTTGCGAAGACCCTATAAAGAGACTCTCAATGTTGTCACCCTCTCGGAGCACGGGGAACTCTTGGACCCTTCGGATGAGATATCAGAGGTGTTCACGGCACCACCACCAAAACGCCACATCCATATCATAGTGGGTACGTAGCAGCCGCGATCCGGGCTTTTCCTGGTTATTCATTCCTGAGAGACTCACGTTATCTTACTCCCTCGCAAGATGTCATAGCCAGAGACTCGCAAGGTTCCCGCCACACCATGGACCTCGTACTGCTCTGCTGGATTCGCGGTGAAGAAGAAGTGTTCAAGATCAAGATTCCTAGATCGGCGGATGTGGGAGACCTTAAAGAAGTCTTGAAGGACAGTAATTCGGTCACCTTCAAGGATGTAGATGCGAAGAATATCAGCCTCTTCCCCCTCCTCGTCCCATCGGGTGCCAATCGTGCGGATGAACTTGGAAAGTGGAGATTCAAAGGGAAAAAGCATTTGGATGCCACACAAAAGTTGTCCGATGTTTTCCTCGAAATTAGCGATGGGGAATGGGTTGTCATTGTCACATATCGTGCGCGTTCAGTTTTGCGCGATGGCTAGAGACTCACATTATCTTCATATGCAGCAACTGCAAGAATGGAGTTTCAAGTCTACTTCAAAAACCAAATCTTGCCCGTGTCTGCTCTGGCGCAGGATAAAATCAAGATATTTTTATCGGACCTTCGAGATCGACAACACAAGGACCTGTTTCGAGACATTCGCATTTCAAAGCTCACTGTTTATCGATTGAATCCCCCGGTGTTGGAGGCAGAGGGAGCAGATTATCTGGAAAACTTGGAACCCATCAAGGACAGCGATACAGTCGAGTTGTCTTTTGGCGAATCAACAGTTACCCGGGACCATGTGTGTCTGGCCCTCTTGCTCGAAGCTGGTACAGTTGTTCCGTGTATGCAGTGGTTTGCCCTACCTCTGACGCGTTTTTCGCTTGCCTACCAGAGGAGTCCAGTCAGGCCATCGCGGCACTGGAACGAAATCACACGAGGATCTTTTCGAGTTTGAAAATAATTGTAACAACGCCACTCAAATGGACGATGGACGATGTGCACAATAACTTACGAGGTGGAAGGTACACAGAGAGTGAGAGAGCTGATCTTCCGGAAATCGTGGAGATCCAACAGTTGCTGGGTTCTGATCGGATATATAATGTAGGTCATCATCCTTCTCTCGCCAATCTGTAGTGGCTAAGGTGGGTTCGGCAGCTGCAGGCCTTGCGGACAAATAACGAGCAGCAAAATAAGGATTTTGAAATAGCTCTAGAGTACCCCGAAGGCGGTGACCTTTTCGGCAGGATATTCAAGACCTTTTCAGACGAAGCTCGGGGGTTGATGGTTCGCAACGAGCGAGAATTTGCAACTTTTTATCACATTCTACGTTGCTTTCGGGAAGACGCAAGCAAAATCTGTGCGCAGAGGTCTTCTTCCATCAAGGCAGGCAACTTCGCCGCGTACTTCATACAGCCTCCCTTCTTCTCCGATGGTGGCACCGATATAAAGTATGAGACGTAAGTGCTCGGCTGACGGCGACTTCATTCACTAATCCACTGGAATTTAGAGAGATGCCCTGGGGTTTCCCGATCTTTATTGGGAACAGGGATGCCGCTGATGCCTTGCGCAAGTACAAGCCAAAGAGCGATCTCATGGCTACATCTGCACGTCATCTCAACCCGTTCTTTGTCTCGGAAGTTATTTCGTTGAAGCAAGAGGATGACCGTTTTCGAATGTTACTCCAAGCAATAGCCGCTGCGCGAGCAGGAAAGATACTCTTGAAGGAGACAGCTAAGCGCAAGTTTTTCGTAGTTGCCGTATACCTCAACAAAGACTTGGTCGCTTCACGATACATCGTCATGCAGACTGGTCAAGACAACGCCGAGCATGCTGAGGCGTATCGTCAAGGGAATGCGGTGGGTCTTTCGCTGCCACCTTGTGATGGATGTAATTATACTGAACGAACGCAGGTTTCTATCCATTGCAACCACTTTAATCTTACCATCAAGTCTGGGGCGATTGAATTCGTCCGCGAAATGTATAATCTTGTAGGAGAGCTGAACAATTTGGCTGAGGACCTGGACAACAACAGGGCACGAACCCTTAAACAGCTTGTAGATGCAGCCAAAGGGGTCCTTTCACTCCACTCGAAGAATCATCCAGTGGCGCAGCTACGAGCCAGTCGCATGGATGCCATCCCGGAACATCACGCAGGTGAGGAGGAACATGTGGATGTGGATGAGGACGAGGACGGGCTCGGCGTTTTCGGTGCGGATGATGTTCAAGAACACCTGCTGAATATGAAATGCATGGTTGACTATCGCGTCTTCGGGGTTGGTTCATTCGCTTCTTCGTATTTCATGCCTCTGATTGACCTACTGCAGCACGAGAACCTTGCTGTGGTCAGAAGCAAGACTGATGGCCGCGTTGGCTACCTGAAGTTCGTCGAAACCGCACGGCATCAGGAGGTTCGAATTCTGCAATTCCTTGGCGGTATTCAATCTCCCATGAACCACACCATCTCTGGGGCCGAGTTCTGGCCAGTGCAGGACGGGACTATGATCTCTATGCCTGTCGCTGGTGGCCACCTCACGTCTCTTGACAGGCCTGATGAGCACCTCTGGTCCGCCGCCAGCCAACTCGTTGAGGGGGTTGCATTCATGCACGCACAACTCGTTGCACACATGGATCTCAAACCAGATAATATCATCATTCCTCTCGAGGGTGGTTATCTCTCCATCATCGATTTTAGCTCATCTATCCGCTTGCAGAGTGAAAAACAGAAGTTCCGTGGCATAGCTGGCACCACAGGGTACATCGCACCAGAAGTCGAACGGGGCGACGCGTACAAGCCAATCCAGGCCGACCTGTGGAGCTGTGGACGAACTTTGGAGGTCTTGTGTTCAATCTGTAAACCCTCTCCTGACCGCGATTTCCTCCTCGACGTGGCTGCCGAACTAAAGAGCGAAAACCCTGAGCGTCGCCCAGCGATGAGCAAGGTCCAGGAGTGGATGGCTTCCAGGAAGGGAGCTCTCGGTGCAGAGACGCATGTTCTTCAGTGAGTCCAACATTATTTAATCGCAAATGAAGCCTGTAGCAATCCTTGCATAGATCCCCTCCACATTTGGCAGTGTGTGCTTGATTGCATTTTTATCAATTGTACTGTGCTGGCCTCAACGTTGTGTATACCTATCCAGTTGTTATACCTGTATATATGGATATCATTGTTGTTTTGTACCTGTATAGATATGTCAATGTACATTTACAGCTACTGCCAAATACAAAGGCCCTTAAGGTGATCACACTGAAGATTCTTCTGGATCCTGTGCTTTTTTTTGAAAAAAAAAAAATTCAAATTTACATAAGTTCTTGAGGGTAGATTTACCCTATGTTGCACTATTCTAACATGGTTTTAACAATCTAATTAGGGGCCCCCTGTGGCCTGCCTTTCCCCACAAGTGAGTGAATGCCCTGGTAGCAAGGACTTTGGCCCCCCACCAGTCTGCCATTCCCACTGGCCATGTTAGACACTCTGCCTTGAAGTGAGGAGGGCTTATAACTTCCTCTAGTTGTTAAGCTCTATCTAGACAAGCCTGGATCCTGTGCTTCATCAGCAAACCTGGGTGCTGCTGTCCAGTGCTGTCCAGCCTATGACATCAGCTACAGTTAGGGGGGACATGAATCACAGGCAAAGTGAGTGATGAGTATCAGGGGCCTGTTGTGCAGATAGGGAAAGGACTCTTAAGGTTGAACACAAACCTTATTGTATTGTTGAAAGTACTTGAAAGATGATATAGGAAAGTGGTGAGTTAAGGAGGATAGCCTGAGAGCTAAGAGCATCAGCAAACTACTTTGTTCTGTACAGTGCTGGACAGAGCAACCCAAGACCACAGAGTCACCAGGGTGGTCCAATCTGGACACCCTTGTTTAGATTCACATCAACTTGTAGTTTACTGTGCAGCTCACCCCAGATCCCTCCAGATGTATGTGCATATCCAGAATACACAATGTTGGGCTGCTGTAGCTTTGTGTGCAGCTTATCACAAATCCCTCTAGACATATGTATGTACTTGTCCAGAATAAAGAGCACTTGGTATTCAATACCAGCTGGCAGGGTCTAGCACAGGAGCAGATAGCATTTGCCATGCTGGATGCATCTAGGGAATTCTGACAACATGGGAGACACAGCAATATGTATGTAGTACAGTGTGGCTCAAAAAAACAACCATATATTTGGACATTTTTCACTAAAGTCAATAATCCCCCATACCCCCTAACCTGGGCCCTAACCTACAGTGGCTCAAAAGTGTCCCAATGTTGGGTGATTTTCAATGCTTCCAGAGGTCACACTGGAGACTATTCTCCTTCTGCCAGTAGAAGAAAGCTAGTAAGGATGTCCTACTTTGAGGTTTTCCTTATCTAGCTGGAACTCTTTGATGACCATGACCACAGTAGAGCTCACCAGACCAGTTGTAGAGGGGATTTAATGAGCAGAAAGGCCAGATTGAGAAAAGAAGATGGATATTTGCTCTAGCAGAGTTAGCTGAGTGGGATCCAAGCCATTTTTATGGCTCAAGATTATGCACATTACATAATCAGGCAAGGTTGAAGCACAAAATCCTTCAGAAGTTATCCTGCAGGAGTTTCAACTAGTTCCTATTGGCTCTCTCATACATCTCAAATCTTTCCAAAATCACCCAACATTGGGACACATTTTTGAGCCACTGTATAAGTGTATGAAACAAAGCCCTTACCCTTGGCTCTCTACTGGTGCAGGGGTCAAGGGCTTTGGGTAAGGTTTGATCAAATGGCAGCCATTTCAAAATGATGACTCATGTGGTCAGTTTTTTGACTTTATATCAATCTAAGTATCTAGTACTTGGTGTCAAAGTCACACAACACCCCTTACTTCCTCTTAGAGTGGAGTAGGAGCAGGTTGGACTGCAGAGTACTCCCAAGTTGCAGATGATGAACTGGTTGTCCTTACCAACAACTCCACTGACACTGAGCAGGAGAAGTCTGTGGAGAAGGTGCACTGATGAGAGGAGACCAAGTGGAGAGAGAGAGAGTGCAAGGCAGAGCACAAGGCCAAGTGCAAGGAGGCCAAAGGGTGGAAGGCAGAGGAGGAGAGGTTGGAGGTGGAGTGGAGGAAGAGAGTGGAGGAGGAGGAGGAGGCCTGAAGGAAGAAGGCAGCAGAGGAGGAGGTAGAAAGGCAGAGGCAGAGGGCCTCTGAGGAGAGGGCCCAGGCCAGATGGGACAAGGCTGCACAAAGGTGAGTGGTGGGGTACTATGAGTCAGGTGGAGCTGACTTGTAGCTTTACCTTTCTTAGACTATGCAGCATGGTGTACGACATCAACACTGCCCAGAGGGTCCCTGGGACCTCTGTGGTGGTCACTGCGACCAGGTGGCCCCCCTGTACTCACTGTGTAGTGAGTCTGACAGCAGGGCAGTGCAAGCTGGGACAAGGCAAGACCAGGGCCTGTGTGCCCTGCCAAAACAAGAAAAAGGTGTGTAGTTGGACAGAGGATGTGGTGGCAGGGCCCTTGTGGAAGAGAGCAGGGACAGGAAGTTCCTGAGGGGAGAAGAAGAAGAGGTTGCAAGGGAAGGGGAAGGAGAGAGCAACAGAGATGGAGGAAGTGGATGATGAGTGGGAGGTAGGCAGTGTAGATGAGGAGGAGCCAGGGACACTGCATGAGGGACCCTCAGGAGTGGGGGCTTCTTCCTGGTGGGCAGAGTGGGAGCAGGAGCAGCTGCTGCAGGCTGCAGAGAGGTACACAGAGGCACATGAGAAGGCTGTGACAGCCTTTGAGAGGATGGCAAGAGCAGTGGAGTGGATGGCGGAGGCTGTGGAGTGGACAGCCAATGAGTGGGGGCTGTACCATGAGTGGGCAGAACAGGTGGAGATGAGGAGGAGGGAGGACATGTGTGAGGCCAAGATGGCTGAGTTTGAGCATGCAGGAGGAGGATGGAAGAGGCCTCAGTTGGAGGTGCTGGAGGACAGGGACAAGGAAGCAGACAAGGGTGTGGAGGGGGATAATGAGGAAGAGGAAGAAGTCAGAAGAGAGCTGGAAGGTGGAGAAGGACAGGAGGGTGGCAGAGAGCAAGCAATGGAAGAGTAGAGTAGATTTCTTTTTTTTTTTTTTTGTCTTTTGTTTTTTGTTTGTATATTTTGTACTACTACTAAATAGACTTGTGACCTTGTTTGTGATTCTGAGAAGTGAAATGGACAAGTGGAGAAAACTCTAAAGTACTTCAGGTAGTTTGGTAAGGGGCAGAGTTGGCCTGCAGAGGAAGGTTGTATGGGTGGAGTACTATGGCAGAGGTTGATACAGGCCAGGTTTGTGTGGATATTGCTTGTGGAAAGCAGAGACTATATCAGAAGTATGATCTAGCTCAGTTGCAAGCAACCAAGAGGTTTCTTCATTGGTGTTCTCATAACCAGCCCAGTGGACTAGGTACAAGAGTTGACAGTGGTGGCAATGGTGGTCCACCTTAGAGTCAAGTATCTCTGATACTTCATACTCAAGGTCACCATCAACATCCACTGGTGGAGGCAGAGGTTGTTGTTGGTTTGGGAAAGGGTTAGCCACTGCAGCTTCCAGTTGTGAGACATGGAAGACCAGATGTACTGAGCACATAGAATCAGGGAGCTTAAGGGTGACAGAGTGCATGCCTAGCCTAGCCAAGATAGTGAACAGACCTAAGTACTTTTCAGAGAGTTTTTCTGAAGGACGAGTGGAGCAGAAGTACTTGGCTTTGATGTAGGCTTGTTCTCCAACCTTAAACTCAGGCAGAGGTATGCATCTAGCATCTGCTAGACCCTAGTAGCACTGCTGAGCAGTGGACATTTTAGAGTGGAGGAAGTCATGAAGGGCAGAGAGCTCAATGACATAGTCATGAGCCCTTGGAGAGGTGAAGTCTTGGTCAGGAACCACAGACAGGTTTGGGTGGTATCCTTTGTTAGTGAAGAAGGGAGAAACTTCAGTTGTTGCACTTGGTGCATTGTTGTAAGCAAACTCTGCTAGAGGTAACAGCTCAGCCCAGTTGTCTTGTTGGTAGTTGCAGTAGACACGAAGGTACTGCTTGAGGGTCTGGTTTGTTTGCTTGGTCTGGCCATCACCTTCTGGGTGGTAACCTGAAGTGAAGTGAAGATGCATATCAAGGGCCTTTCCTAGAGAGCAGAAGAAGTGTGAGACAAACTTGGGACCTCTGTTGGAGGTGACATTAGCTGGCACTCTGTGCTTGGAGAAGACATGGGTAAGGAAGAGTTTAGTGAGTTCGGTGGAGGTGATGGAGTTGTGGGTGGGGATGAACACCACTTGCTTTGAGAGGTGGTCCACTACCATGAGTATGGTGGAGTAGCCATCAGAGTTGGGGAGGTGTTTGATGAAGTCCATGGAGATGGAGTTCCAAGGTCTCTCTGGGATGGGGAGTTGCTTCAGTAGACCATAAGGGCAGTGACATGGAGTTTTTCTCTGTCCACAGGCAGTGCAGGACCTGACATATTCTTTCACATCAGAGCAGAGGTTAGGCCACATGTAGTCCCTGCAGATGAGTTCTAGGGTGTGGTTTTGCCCAAAATGGCCTGCTAGAGGATGGTCATGCTTGAACCGAAGCACTCGAAGGCAGAGGTCATCAATGTCAGGGACAAAGATGCAACTGTCAAGGTGGAGTAGGCCATTGGAGTCCAGGGACCACCAAGGCTTAGTCAGAGTTGGAAGATGGCTGGCAGAGACAGGGTCAGATGGTAGGGTGGAGATGATGTTGGAATGCAAGCACTCAACATCAAAGACCATGGCGGTGCAGAGCATGGGTGCCATGAGGGTAGTGGTATGGAGGGATGACACAAGTTGCTCCTGTGTAAACATAGGGCAGAGATTGTGAGGATTTACCTGCATGTAGCCCCTATCCCCCCTTTTGGGTAGACATCCCATCATTGTGTAAGTGTGTTGGGTTTGGCTCCCAGGCAGCCAGGTCAGAAGCAGATGGAAAGGTTAAACTGTGAAAGGTACTCTGACCAGTGAACCTGTTGATGAGTGAGGACCTTAGAGGTGGAGAAATATTCAAGGTTTTTGTGGTCCATCACCACATCAACAGGTAAGGTGGAACCTTCTAGGTAATGCCGCCAATGGTGGAAGGCCTTGAAGATAGCCAACAGCTCCTTGTCATGGGTATCATAGTTGAGTTCTGGCATGGTCATGGTGCAGGAGTAGAAAGTGACTGGGCAGAGTTCACTGTCAGAGCAGGTGATCGACAAAATGCCAGCAATGGCATAGTCAGAGGCATCAGTTTCAA